ACACCGTTTTTCTTGAGTGCGAATTTTCTGAGGTGGGAAGAAAGGGGGCCTGTATGGAGCACATCAAATCCATGGTAATTTTTACTCGGGTGGAGAGTTACTTGAGCCTCACTGAGTCCTTTTTTAATAATTTACCTTCATTTTGTGACTATGCTTTTCGTATATACTCAATATTTATCAAAACAATTTTGTAAGTCCCATGATGACCCAGGTGGTAAGCAGTAAAAAAAAAAATTAAGAGCACAGGGTCTGAAGTTAAAATGATATGAGCTGAATCCCAGTCCTACCACTTATTACTTCTATGACCTTGGGCAAGCTACTAACCCAGTTACCTTATCTGTAAACTGAAGATAATAGCCACCCATCTAGGTTTACTGTGAGGATTAAGTGATTAGCACAGTGACTAACGTATCCTAAATCCCCAATATGCCAGCAAGCCATTATTATCCTTAAAAAAATCGGTTCTCTGCACGATGACCTTCCTTGCGTGTGGGTGCACTGTTTCGTGTGTTTTCAATCATAAATCTGGTAAATGAGTATCTGTTCATTGAATGATTTATTGAATAAGTCATTTATTTATTTATTTATTTATTAATAATTCATTGATAGCAACCATCAAATGCAGGTTTTTTTTTTTAACTCGGATTCCATACACCTGTCTAGAAGATGCCCAGATGAATGAAACAAATTTAGCCATCCCACAAGAGAAGTGTGAGCAACTTGAGTGTCTAGGTACCGTTCTGAAGGAGTCTAACTAACAGTGTTAGACGAATCATAGAAGAGAAGACCAATCCAGCATGAACTTTAAAGTTTAAAACATCAACCATTCACCTTTATGTGTATTTGGAGTCCACAAAATAAGTTAAACCCTAATATCTTACAGTGACAAAGAATGACAATTAGCAAGATCCATTTATAATCTCTTTAAAAGCTGTCCCTCCCAAGTAATACTGAAAAGGAAATCAAAGATTAATTTGTTTGAAGCCACACGCCACAACTTAACCAACTTTACTGTTCCCTCCTAAAATAGTACCTTGCACACAGTAGGTTTACAAGAAATGAACAAAATTAAGTTGACTCTAAAATGAGGAAGCCGGTCAAAAAGATGCATCTGGTCCCTCCAACATCATGAAGGAGAAACTATCTAAATGATCAAATATCACCAACTCTGGTTGATCTTTACAGCTAAACTTAAGAATTCACTGCTACTTTACTAATGAAGTTTACTGAAGACATTCCTCCTTAATTTCAATTAATGTGAGCATGGTCAAAACACAGCTGTCAATTCTAATATCAAAGTATGAAGAATATGCCATGGCGGGCGCCTGGGTGGCTCAGTTGGTTAGCTGAGCCTTCAGCTCAGGTCATGATCCTGGAGTCCCTGGATCGAGTCCCGCATCGGGCTCCCTGCTCGGCAGGGAGTCTGCTTCTCCTTCTGACCCTCCCCCCTCTCATGTGCTCTCTCTCTCAAATAAATAAATAAAATCTTTAAAAAAAAAAAAGAATATGCCATGGCTCTAAGTTTCTAGAAGCATCAAGAAATGGGTGACTTGGAGAAATACGTATGTTTCGGGGCCAAAAGGATGAAATTAAAACATTTCCTTTTTTTTTTTTACTTTTAATAATAATTTCTAATCTCCCATTGGTGTATTTATTATGTATTAGTTGTTATATAATACATTGGCTCTCCTGGGAAGGGGAAAAAAAAATCAACTTAAAAATAAGAGTTTTCCAGGAATAGAAAGAGATAGTCACAATAGAAAAATACCAGCGGGAAATAGTCTTTATATTATATAGCAATTAAAACTTTCTAAACAAAAAAAAAAAAATTTATTTTTAAAGACATATCATAGCTGGAGAACTGGCCAAAACTCAACATGTTTAATGAGATACAGATCAGTGGTAAGAACAAAGGAAAATCCAAGTTGAAGGATTAAATTTCTCTCAGAATCAGTCACTCAAACATCTGTACCTATGTCATAAAGTGTTTCTGAGTTTAATGTATACTCCAGGCATTAATCCCCATCCGGAGAGCAGAAAGGCTTCATTTGCCACATTCCAAACTGAAATAGACTCCTGTACAGCACTGTACATACCTAAGAACAGCTCCTAAAAGTCATTAGCAAAGATTCTTTGTGAGTAGAGAAATCAAAAGACAAGAATCAAAAGGCATAAAGATGTCAAAGTCAAGATGCAATGCTCTCTAATTTTCTGAGTCACAGGCTAAGAGAAAAATTTTAAAAAGAAAAGCGAGACCATTCCCTCTTCGCAGAAACCAGCAAAAGAAAACAAACAAACAAACAAACAAAAAAAACATAGGCACAAAACCCCTGGACATACTTTCCTGCTTCTTGCCAGTGACATACATCTGTATGTATGGATCTAAGTGCATGAGCTAACAGTCAGGACTTCAGAGCAGTGAATTACCACACAGTCGCACAGATACGCTCTCACACACAAGAGAGCAAAGCTGATACTATTTAAACATCATGAAATATTTTCCTAACTGTGCACAGATGGAAGTACAGACTTTTCTGCCAACTGCCTGGTTCAGAAACTTTGCTCTATTTTTAATTATTTGGTTCAGAGGACCCGTTTGTGATTAACTTCTGTGTTGGATGGCAAAACCAGTCAAGTTCCTGACCCACAGCAAAGAACACTGAGAGAAGTTTAATTATTTTTAAACAGCTAGTGTAATACTGTAAACTGCATGTAGCGACAACTAATTTGTCAAAGACCTGTTCGTGGGTGCTGCAGCTTGAAGAAGAAAAATCCAGGAGGCACTGAGGAAGTGACACCGAAATGAAGTTCCCAATGACAAAGAAATTTTCGTCTTAGAGAAATAACAATGGAGTAAGAAACCGAGAGGAAGAAATTAATAGTGTTGCAAGGACTAATCTTATTAGCACTGGAAGTTTCAGTTCTGACTACGAGGACAGTGAATGGAATGCCAAAGCTTTAAACACAGGAAATGAACTCAGATGCAAGGAGGAGGTGGTCAGGAAACTTCAACCATAGAATTCAGAATCACACACGAGAAGTGCTGAGCAAGATCAAATCCCAGAAGAGGAGAAAGAGAAGCAGTGGTCTAGCAGAAAGACAGAAAAGGGAGCCGAGGTAAGAATGAACAGGTTGGAATGGTTTTATATTTTTCAGACCTGTGCATTAAAAAAAAAAATAAAGCTGTTTCCAAATAGAAAATGAACCCAAAGAGCAAATTAGTACAAACACAGAAAGGAAACAAAATATAAGGCATCCAGTTAAGAACCTTGAAGGGAGAACAGGGTTCAGACCTAACAAACTTGTATTCCTAAAGAAACCTTCTTTTGATCAATATCCCTACAATTGTAAGACGGTCTGTATTTACATCTTTGATGTTCTTGGGAAGACACCAGATTCCACGGAACCACAGGCCACAGAGAGCCAAAATACTTCAGGAGTTAATAGTTATTGCTAAAAATTACATTTATAATGAGTCCAGGATCAATGCGAGAATGGTCTGGGAATTGAAAAAAAAAACAAACAATGAGCACCTAATTTCTGTGTGAGAAGGTGTAGAACTGCGGAATTAAAAAAAGAACTTCCTTAGCAGGGGGTGGGGGTCCTAATTCAGCTTCTTAAACCACTAACACTGGCCACTAGGTTTCAGCTGGGTTGGATGACACAGGAAGACCCTCAGAAGGACACATCCGTAGCTGTGAACAATTAGGAAATTTCAATAATTGGAACCAATTCAGGGAGCCATCACAAGGAGAAGAAAAAAGGTGATCTGTTCTAGAAAATCCAAAATAAAGTTAACTCCTATTAATATACAGTCATTCTTCCTCTACTATGCAAAGTATATGTATGGGTATATGTGTTGGCAAGAGACTAGAATTTAAAAAAAAAAATTTTTTTTTTTTTTTTAAAAAGCACATCTACGACCGAATTCTTTATAGTTGCAAATGGTTTCATAATATCCACCTGGTATTATTACAGGCCACGGTTTAGAAACGTTTTATCTCACTTAGAAATATTTCTATTTGCTGTAACAAGAGCCACTGTGCCGAGATGAGATTTGACCTGTGTCTTTGTCCATAAAACAATCCTGTAAAATATGTAAACATGAATTCAATTTTCTTTAAGTCGAGAAAAGCAAAAATACGGCTGTCAGAACACACACAGCCTTCTGTGGGATACTCTAGTTAAATGGAAGCTATTCAACTTGAATCAATTGCTGTATCCATTCTCCAATACACAGCAGATTTATATTTCAGAAGGTTTTTGACAGAGAACAAAATGTTACTGAACTATCTCTTCCATTCCTTTTGTCCCACAGAACATTCCACGGGCTACGGGCTGAACTCCCAACAAGGGGCATACACTTGTCAGCTTCTGTGTGCACTCCTTCTATTCTAGTTTTTCTTTGTTGCAGATTTTCAGTTTTGACCCTTTCCTGGCAAAACATTAATATACACCTTTGGGGTTTAAATTGTGTTACAATTTAAAAAAAATTTTTTTTAAACTTACATTTTTATCCTGTACCATCTTGAAGGGCCTCTGACTCATTAAAATAGGCCCTGCTATTTAAATCCATGCTAGAACCTTTCTTTCTATCTGCTTCTGTAAACACCAGAAATCCAGGGAGAAAATTCTTCCCCTCCAACAATCCACACATTTCAACACAAAACCAACCACTTGCATATTTAAACGCGAGAGAGACAGACCTAGACCTAGCATGAACACATCCATGCGAGATGAATTTACCCTCCACCGCCTCGACTCCAGGTCATCCCAGGACTAGGCCTGTGGGGAAAGGCCAAGATGGAAAGAATGGACAGGTGCGTGTTTTCGAGCATATCTGTGTAAAGACACACCAGGAGCTCAAGAGGGAGTTGCTGTTCTAGAACTGACAAAAGGTGAGTAGCTGCGAACTGATCAGGGAGAACATTCAACATCACCCTCGCCATTTAATGACTAAGCCTGAGCCAGCTCAAAAAAAAAAAAAAAAAAAAAAAAAAAAAATCCGTCGGCAACAGATTTCAGACAGTGGAAGACCTAAAACACTGGTTCTCAGGGATGATGTCCGAGAGGAGGTCTCTGAAGCTGGGTGTCATCCTTTAGGGTGGCCCAGAATAAAATGGTGATGCATTATGCCTCCTGGCGAGCTCATATCTACTTTGAACGGCAAAGACACCAAGTCCCGTGGACTTCCGACGAAGATCTTGGGGCAAGAAGAGATGTCCACCAGCACTCTCTGTGACCTGTTAGAGAGAAACATTCTTAGCTACTCCATCACCAAGCAAAACTCCCCCTCCAGGCTATAGCGTCTTGACTCCTAGGAAAAAGCCGTGAAGAGATGGGGGGCGGGGGGGAGGCCTAAAAGAGAGATGCCCTTGGTCGTGTCTGCAGAATGACTAGTAAGGATTCCGTATATAAAATCTAGCTGCAGTCAAGTCTCCAAGTGAATCAGATTCCAGGGATTTCTGAAGCCAACAGCCTGGTCATCAGCCACCAAATTACTCCTGCAAAGATAAGAAAACGCTCCCATCACAGTGATTCTATATGTTCCTGGCTTCAAGAGATGGATGATGATTTTTAACTAAATGGTTAACCTCTAGATGTCGCAGGACAGTAGATACGCATCCTGAAAAGTCACTTAGTGTCCCGCGCTGGCTCTGTCCAGCCCAGGAGGTATACATCGGATTCATAGGCAGCCGTGTGAGCTTCCTCTACCCTCTCCGTGGCGTCCCCGGCAGACAGTAGGTACCCGCAGTATGGAAACGATCTGACCATAATGCCTGCCCATCCATTCTCCAAGAAGATGGCATCAGATTTCAAGATTCCATATAGGAGATGAGTCTGATTTCCTGATGTTTCTAGTCCTGCTGACACTGATGCATTAAAGGAAACACAGCTCTAGGAGCTCACGTTAAAGGTACAGTGGCTGCAAAAGGAAAAACACTATCCGTCCAAGTGTAGGCTTAGGCACTACACACACATCTCACTAAATTGATGATGAAATGATTTCGGGTAACTAGGGGTTGCCTATATATTCAAGGGGCTGTCTTCTTGCTCCTTCCCAGCAACATCTCAAAATTGCTCTATTGGGCCACGTCAGTGAAGCAGAGTTATGTTTTTTCAGTCTACAAGTTCAGAAACCCAACTGCATAATTCCTGGGTGATGGCGAAGAGAGCTGAGCTCCAAGTCAGAAAGCCAGGGTCAGGGCACCGACCACGTGGGCTCTGGCCCCCGGAACCCAGCCCATCGGTCAACCTCTTACGTTCTGCTTCCTCCCTGGGAAAGTGAGGAGGATCCTCTCCATGCAAAGACTCACTGTGACTCTCCAGGGAAACGATTTATCTGAAGCACCCCGAATTCTGTGACACGCTGTTTGCAGCTGTGGCGGACCCCTGACACACTAGCCACTTTACATGGTCTAAATGACCGTGCTTTTTAAGGCTGTCTTTACTAAATCAGAGGCTCAGGCTGCAAACGATCCCCAAAAGAAACGGGCAGTTTTGACTAGTCTGACAAGAGAAACAAGAAAACATAGGACTTTTCACCCCAGGGAAGTCTTTTTGAAGACCCTGCACATTTAAAATGGAAAAGTTAAAAAAAAATTTTTTTTAAGGAAATCGTTTCCTGAGATTTCAGGGCAAAGAGTAAAAAGTGCACCACTTAGAGACAGAAACCCTGAGATTAGTCAGGTCACCAAATGTTCTCTGCACAGCAGAATAGCAAACAGCTAGTGTTTGTTCATTTCCATAGATTAATAACCGTCTCTTGGGGACCTGAAGATGAAATGAACTGTACTGTTCTGTTTGGAGAAGCCTCCTCTACGAAGATCCATGTTCCAAAGTCGCACTCAAAAAGACTCCTTCATTTTAACATTGCTTCGTCCTCCCATTGGCCTATTCTGCTCTCTAGGCTGACGAAACTGGATCTAAAGCTTGCAGGGAGGGGAAAAAAAAGAAGTGACTCCCTCCCTTTTTATCGATTTACACAGATTTTTAAAATAGTGCTGTTTATTTGGAGAACACCGAAATGGGGGGGGGGGGAGGAAATACAACCTGTTTCTTCTGAAGAGTAGAGAGAGGTACAAAGGGTGACAGAGGCTTCGTTAGAACAGGAAAGCTAAAATAAAACTGCAAAATTTGGGCTTAGATGCTATCACCACATTTCCTTCAACCTCAAACGAAAGCCAGGTTTTATGGAAGAAGATTTCTGAATAAATAACCAGATCATCTTTTGTCCTGTCAAGAAAACAATAAACTGGGGGCGCCTGGGTGGCTCAGTAGGTTAAGCGTCTGCCTTCGGCTTAGGTCATGATCTCGGGGTCCTGGGATCGAGTTCTGCATTGGGATCCCTGCTCAGCAAGGAGCCTGCTTCTCCCTCTGCCTGCCACGTCTCTCCCCTGCTTGTGTTCTCTCTCTCTTTGAAAGATAAATAAGTAAAATAAAATAAAAAAAGAAAGAAAGAAAGAAAAGAAAGGCTGTCTCTCCCCTCCACCCCCCCCAAAAAAGCTGCAGCTCGAGGTCACACTTCACAATGGTCTGGGTTGCCGTGACCAAAGAAGACCCAGAGGTGATGTGAAAATGGAGCTGTGGAAAGAGAAAAGCACCCACTTGGAACTTGCCAGAACAGAGCAAGGGGAAAAGGCCTTTGGGGCACTCCCCTGTGGGGGCACTGCATTCCATGGGGGGAGGGCAGGCTTCAGCTTCTATACCTTTCCCACACCCCTCAGAATCTCTATCAGAAGCATATCATCCCTCACACCCATCGCCACAAATGAACACCTTAGACCCGGAAAAGGTAACCTCACCAGCCACCAACAGGCAACTTCTGGATGAACTCGTATGCAATAGAGAGGAGGCGGCTGGCCACCTGGCCAGCCAACCGGAGGGGGCACAGAGATATCATGGCTGGACTCCCCTCCTACCCCATCACGGGTGGGTTACACAGAGGAGGGTGCAGGGTTTCCCCAGTCCGTGTGGGGCTTTACCTCAATTCGACCAACCTTCCTTAGGACTCCAGAACTACTCTCTTCCAGATAAAATAATTTCCTCAGGATAATCATCTCCCCAGGAACTTCCCCCTGAGTTGGAGACTGGGGTCACAAGAGCACATAAGGCCAGACAACAGGTGTTATGGAGGTGAATCTCAAATTCATTCATTCATTCAACATGATAGCTGTGTTCCTAAGAATCTTTATGTAATCGAAACTCAACAGGAATTTTTTCAATACCAAGAAAGACCGTTTTAGACATTAAAAAACAAAGCAATTATTTCCTGCATTGAATTTCTATAATAATAGTGTTCTGTGGGGTGACAGGTATAGTACTATGAAATTTAAATATCACTGAGCAAATCCAGCATCCTATTCCTCATGGTCTTTGTTCTGGAAAAGTCATCACTGGGCCTCTCTTTACTCTTTCTCCTTAGCACAGCCTTCTTACACATTTTTATCACCTTTATCATCCCTTGTTGTGATGCACAAAGCTACTCAAACTTCTTCCACCCCTGTGGTCCACTAGGCCCCACGCTGATTCCAGACCACAGTGACATAAGTCATGGTCTATCTTAACAGATGGAATCACATCCAATTCGTATCCGGAAAACTCACATTATAGGGGAAATGCTTGTATCATCTCTATTGCGGGCCTGTTAGATGCCAAATGCCAAGAATGGGGGGAAAGGGGTCCTTGCTGTCACTCAGTTGGGAAAAAGGATTACAAAGTGTTATGGAAGGGGGAGAATAGGGTGCTGGGAGCCTGGACTGGCAGCATAAAACTCTGGGGAAAAGACTCCATTGAGATTTTAAGAATGAGGTGAAGTTAGCCAGAGAGATTGCAATGAGCAGGTAGATGTCAAGAAAGGGAGGAGGAAAGCGAGCAGCAAGACTAAAAGCTGAGACACAAGAGAGAGCAAGGTGCTTCTAAGGAAGAAATGCAATGTGATTGAAGTGAAGCCAATAAGGGGCAGCAGATGAGGGATAGGGCCAGAGAGATAAGCAAGGTCCCCCAAAGCCTGCTGACCCAGGTTACAGACTGTGGACTTCATCCTGAGCACCATGAAAAGCCAGGGAAGGAGTGAAGGAAAACAGATGCAAACAGATCTCTAGTCATAGGAAACATACACTTGGGCTTCAGAGAGGAAAATGGGTTGGGCCAGTGCAAGAGGACATCCAGGGAGGCCATTTAGGGAATATATATCACATCCCAAACCACCCCACCCCCCTGAGCCACTAGCCCAAGTTCAGACCTTGAGGCCAGACTTCCCCAAAGCTCAATACCTAGAAAACTGCTCACAAGCACCTGCCCAAAGAGCTCTCTCCAGGGAGGAGGGGAAACAGGAAAAGAGCAGGGTAGCGGTGAGCATCTCTACTCTAATGTGGATGAAAATCAGACCCGAATCCCCCCAACCTAGGAACTTTGATAACAGTTCAATTTCGCCAAACCTGAAACTCCTGACTGATTGTTCAGGCCCAAGGGAGGGAGGCTGCCAGACTGCCAGCACAGTTCCCATGGCAGGGCCCCCTGATAAGAACACAGGTCAGCAGCAGAGGGTGGAGAACCCCAAAGCGGGGGAGAGGAGACTCTAGGAAACTGGCCCAGACTGGGTGAAGGGCAAAGAGTGAGGAGCAGGTGGGAGGAGAAGAGGGAAGGGGCCCCTTGGCAGTAAACAAGCACAGGGTTTCAAGAGGGAACAGTCCCCTAGGAAAGCTGTGGGCAGAGGAGCATGAGAACTATGCCCAGCAAAGCTGCTGGCCGGTGCAGAATGTGAGCTCCCTTCCAGGTTGGCCTTGGCTACAATCACAGAAGAGATGAGAGACGTCCTACAAAAACCTGAACTTCCGCACACCAAAAAGTAATACAACCGAAGGAAAAGAAAATCAGACCTGGGAAAGTGGCTGCAGCGAATGGGATTTTAAAAAGACCAAGAGCTAGAGCACAGGAAGAGCTCATCTACGCCGATTAGAAAGTATCAAGACTTCCACTTGGTAACTGTGTAAAAGAAAATGAGCAAATAAACATATATGGAAACGTGCTATCTCTGAGAGGGATCAGAGGAATACAAAGTTTAAAACCGAGAAGTCCAGGGGCGCCTGGGTGGCTCAGTCGGTGAAGCGTCTGCCTTCGGCTCAGTTCATGGTCCCAGGGTCCTGGGATCGAGCCCCGCATCGGGCTCCCTGCTCAGCGGGGAGTCTGCTTCTCCCTCTCCCTCTGCCTCTCCCCCGGCTTGTGCTCTCTCTGTCTCCCT